TTTTTTTTTTTATATTAGGGAAAAGGCTTAAGAATGAAGTATTCCAGGATGCTGCTATAACTGCCTCAACCTTATGAAAAAATTCTTTGCATTCTGAGCAAGAATGCAAAGAATTAATATCTCAGTTTCGTTATTATGAAGCTAAAAAAACCCCTTCGATTTACCTTATGTTCGAGACCTTGATACTCCAATATTATGGTGGGGATTTATTAAAAACTGGCCACATCATCTTTCAGAACTTGCACAAAAACTCTTTAGTATTACACCATCTCAGGCCAACTGTGAAAGGAACTTTTCAATTCTCAAATGGTTTATTAGAGATAAACGGATATGTCTTGATATTAAAAAGCTTGAAGAAATAGCAAAAATTAGGTCATACTACATGACAAATATATATGAAGAGCTTAACTGTCTTGGTGTTGAATTAACCGAAAATGAATTGCGTGAGATGGTTAATCTCCCATCGATTAATAGTTTTATCGAAGATGAAGCTGATAAGAAAAATGAAAGCGAAAATAATATATATGAAAACGATTTGTTATCCCAGGCCAATTTGGTTTTGAAAAAAACTGTAAATTTAAAGGATCCAATCTTCCAGGAAGAAGATATTGTACCACATGAAACTTCATCTAATATCTCAAGTGATACAAATGATAATAATGGCAAAAGCAGTAGTAGTATGGATTTTAATCCTGAAAATCTTGTTGATGCTATCTTAAATGAGGTACTACGTATTTTTTGGTTAGTTTAAAGTATTGTATTTGAACTTCTATTTTTTAATACTGTAAATTGGATTTGAATAATTAACAGATATAAAGAATCGCATGCAGACTTAACTGAATCATTAAAATTTGAGCTAGATAATATTTTTTGACAAGCCGTAGGTCGTTATAATATAAAAACTTTATTCAAATAATATATTTCATACATCTGAGTAGCAACAATAAATAAACAATTTTCCATAATTGCTTTTGTTAATTCTTAAATATTCAGTACGCCAATTCATGTTTTTGAAAAAAAAAAAAAATTCTTAAATATTCTGAAATTATGTATACCAATATTATAACAATAGGTTAACTTCGTTTATTAGCAATATGAATCATATAGTTCTTATTATAAATTTAGGAGTTTGGCTATGATAAATTTACTCAAAACAACTAAGAAAGTTCTCTTTATAATTTCTAGAAAAATTTGAACATTTTTGCAATTTTGTGTTGTAAATGCTATTGCACATATTAAATATTATATATATATCAAAAATGTTAAGACACACATTAAGTACTGATAATAAAATAGGAATATTTTAGTTAGTAAAATTCATTAATTTAAGCAACACCTTTTATAAGTTATAGAACAATCATAAATAATTCATAAAGAAATGCAAATATTTCATTCATTAAGTTATAAAAAATAATCATTATTCTTTAGCTAATCTTTGTTGTTAATATCACAAGTAAAATTTAAAAAATGCGCTATGTTAAATGATATTTGAATCGTGCTATTCAACATGCCGCATTTTTAAATTTACCAATACATATATTTTCTTCTAATTTTTATAATCAATTTAATATAAAAAAGTGCTATTGAATATGATTCGAAGGTCTTCTCTCTGCTCCAACCCATTATGACACAAGTCAAATGTTACGGCAAGAGTCAAATATTACGGCACAAGTTAAATATTACAGCACACATAAAATATTATGGCATAAGTCAAATATGATAGCATGAGTTTAACGTTATGACATACATCAGGTATTACGTCACATGTCAGATATTACTGCACACGCCAGATATTATAGCACATGTCAGTGTTACGGCAAATGTTAGTTATAGCTTTTTGACGTATCGTCACGTCTTTGAGTTACGCCCAATTGACATTAAGATCAATTATGGCACTAGCATATGTCTGCATCTATATCTGGTAAGCATAAAATTATAAAAAAAGGCAAGAGCAAAGTGAACAAATTAAATTCTATATTAACTAAAGATACTCGGACTTCAAAGACAATACTAGCTATGTGATAGATAGCATCTTACAGAGAAGAAATGAACTAATCAGTTTTGAAAAAGTTATTCTATCAGACGAAGTAATCACAAATGAAGACAAAATTAAAGAGGCAGTATATTCACACTTCAAATTGTGGACTAAAAGCAATCTCTCGAATAACACCCTTTGGGAAGAATAGGAATCAACATACCTTTCACTAAATAATATACAGGAAATCATCTATAATAATCTCCTTACTTCTATTACAATAATTGAACTTGAACAAACCATAAAATTAACACCTAAAGGGAAAGCAACAGGCCCTCTTGGAATTTCAAACAAGGTTCTTCAACATCTACCACCAATAGCCTTATCCTCTCTGCTAAATATTTTGAATAGTTGTCTAACTCAAGAAATAATCTCAGACCAGTGGCTAATAGCTAACATAGGCCAATATCTAAGAACAATACTACAACTACGAGCTCAACTCTACTCGGCCTATCATACTAATTGGCTATACTAGAAAGATCTTTATAAAGATTTTTACAAACTGCCTGACAAACATTCTAGTTCACAACTAAGTGCTCTTCCTTTACAACTATGCAGCCTTTCCTTTTCAATCTACACTTCAACCAATCTCACAGCTAACTCATATTTTAGAAGATGCAACAACGAATAAGAAAGAAATTTGAATCCTATCACAGGACATGTCAAAAGCCTTTGACTCTATCCACATACCCACTTTATGCAAAGCTCTCACAAGAATACGTATCCCAGAAAAGGCTATAAATTTACTATCATATCTGCTCTCAAATCAGAAAAACAAAGTAATTACAAGCTTAGGTTTAACTGTATCATATGATGTAGAGGATGGTATAGATCAGGGAAAGACAATCCCCCTACTGTAGAAAATCTATTACGACCCACTAATATTCAAAATACACAAAAAGCACCAAGGATTCTATGGGAAGATAGCCTCCCTTCGACCAAAGAAAATTCATACTTCAGTAATGGCATACATGGACGACTCGCTATGGATTGCATCAAACAAAGAATTACTCACCAAAATCCTAAATACTGCCTCTTCTTTCTACAGATTTGCTAGTATAAAGGTCAATCCACAAAAATCTACTCTTGTAACAAACTCAAAAGCTTTGAATAAAACTATAACCTTTGACAATGAACAATTAACAGCAATCACAAACAGAACATCCTTTAAATACTTAGAAG